GATCCCCACAGCATGCTGATCCCCACTGCATGCTGATCTCTGTTGCATGCTGATCCCCACAGCATGCTGATCCCCACTGCATGCTGGGCTCCGCACACATTCTGTCAGGCACACAGGGCCCCCTTTCCAGAGTGGCAGAGAGGCTGGTCTAGGTTAGCTATGCACCCTGTGTTTTTGCAAGAAAGGAAGACAGGCCTTCCTGAGACCTAGGTCCGCGACCTTGGCCTCTGGCCCTGGGTCTGAAGCAACCTCCAGTGGTGGATTATTCTGTCCCTGGGCATAGCCTCCTCTCCCTGGTGATGCAACTCTGTTACAGACCACAGGTTGGTCACTCGTTCCTGTCCTGAGCACACAGAGGCGCATCCCTGGGTCTTTCTGATGCACTGCAAGATCCCACGGTCTAAATCCTTCTACTTTCCCTGTGAAAGCCCCTGGTCTCAGAGAGGGAACTAGTTCAGGTGACCCTGGTAGCCTTGAGGCAGAACTTCCCAAGGCCCAGCCACCGTGTTATATGGGGCAACCAGCAGAGAGGCACTTTGGTTCTGGTTGGTGTAGGGACAGAGGGTCCTATAATTACCATTAGCCCCCAACTCCTCCCCCTCAAGAGGAATTCAATGGGGGAAATGCAACCTCCAGCCAGGCTGCCACCCGAGTCCCTCCATTGGCTCTGCCCCAAGCCCAAGGCTCTCCTGGTGAAGGGGTCTGGGGACCAGGTGCCCCCTCTTGCCCTTTGTGCTGAGTGCTACACTTCAGATCTGAAGGCTTCCTGAATTGCAGGTCCCCTGGCCTCACTACCCTGGAGTCCTCCTTTGTCCTCCCCCCCCATCCTCCTCCCCTGAGCCATTTCCAAGCCCTGTGCTCCCTTCACCCTCTTATTATTAATTATTAATTATTGTATTATCCTGCGATGGCTGGCAGTTTTCTGGGGTGCCAAGGGTCTGGATTCCGTGAAGAGATGCCCTGTCTCCTTAGAATCTAACTTGGCACCTGGCACAGGAGCTGGGGAGCAAATGTCACAGAGCAGATGCCCGAGAGGAGCTCACGGGTCTCTTGTTGTCTCCATCATTTGTTGTTACAGGGGACAAACCCCACCTTGAACTAGCACACAGCCCTGCCGCTTCCTTGGCCACGGGGAGAGGAAGAGGAGCCGCCCCTGGGGTTTCAGCTTGAAGGACATCAGCAGGATTCCAACTGGGGATCAGGTCCGTGTCCCATGGGTGTGGCCGAGGACGGGAAGACGGCTGAGTGGGCAGCACTAGTGGCAAGAGCCAAGACAGGGAAGGGCGAGAGGGGAGGTGACCGTGGAGTGTCCGTACGCGGAGTGCCGTCTAAACTAAGAATGAGGAGTCCTGCTGCTGTTGAAATACAGACAGACCTGGGGGACAAGGGGTAACGTGGAAGGATCCAGACTCCAGAGGCAATGCAGCGCGTCTCACCCACACACGGATCTGGAATAGTCCGACTGACTCGGGAAGAGAGACCCGCGGTTGCCGGGGCTGGGAGAAGGGCGCGGGGAAGGTGACGGGGGAGAGCCACCAAGTTTCAGCTGTGAGAGGTGGACGGGTTCTGGAGCCTCTGCAGGAGAGGATGACACCAGTGTGGAAACAAACCCGGATCAGTCCTGCTCCCCCGGTGTCGAAGACTGGGTGCCCAGGAAAGGCTGGGGCGAGGAGAGAGAGTGGGGTGGGGATGGGGGACACTCCTCCATAGAGGAGGGGTCCAAGCTGGTGCCCAAGGGAGTGGGGTGTCCTGCCCCTTTTATAGATTTCAGATTTCCTTTCTTCTCGTGCTCCCTCCCATCCTGCCTACGTGACCATTGGGGCAGGAAGAGAGTCAGGTGCCTGTTTTTGTTGGAGATGGAATCCTCCCCTCCCCTGGAGGCGGTTAGCAGGAATGCTCTCTACCCATTTCCTTTCCTTTGATAATCAGCTACCTGTCCTTTGCCCTGGTCTCCGTGGCTGAGGCTGGAGAAGGGGACTGGGAAGGTGTAAAGTTTCCATTACCTAAGATCAATGGGTTCTGGAGACCGTCTGTATGAGAAGGGCCTCTGCCACTAACGACATTATATGCTTACAATTGTCCTGCAGTAGGTTTTATTCTTCCCCCAAAGATGATGCTAACAATAACAATAACAACGAAGGGGCAGGAGCAGGCGGAAACGGGATGGTAGACCAGATGATCCCTGGCCTTGGGGGTGACAATTTAGCTCACGGTGTATAATCATCCCCAAGCTAGTTGAGAGGCACCCGTTAAACATGGACAGCTTTTCAGATGTTGATTGTACCCCAATAAAAAATCATCATTAAACATTTTGGTTGGAGTGAGAAAAAGAGGAATAGGTCAGCAACTCGAGGCGGGGACGGGCAGACGAAGCCGCAGGCCAGTCCACTTGCGTCACAGCCGAGTGGCCTCCAGTGGCGCTTCGAGTTCCTCAGCGGGTCTGGCTGGATTCTTGCCCTTCCGCGTTCCCACTTTTCCTGCTTCTTCAGTCCCTTCTGTGCGGCTTGCTGGATTTTGTAGGATTATCTAAATAATAGAGGGGATTGACAGGTCTGAACTTGCTCTGGCTGAAAAGGGACGTGACACAGTGACAGGAAGTTCAGGCTTCGTGAGAGACGCTAACTGGAAACAGGAGAGTTGGGAGGAGTGAAGGCAGCCACGATGGTGGGTCCCTCCAGGTCACCATGTTTGCTTTCTGCATCTGTCCACCTGCGTGGTTTTCTCTCTCTGCAGAGTGGCCACCTCTGCTTCTCCGTGCCCCTGTGAAGGTGGCCACCCCACGGCTCGTGGAGTTAGGAGTCCTCAGCCTGGGGACAGTACGTACGTGGCCTGGCCTCTCTGAGGTCACTCCTTACTCCTGGAAGTGTGTTAGTTTAAACCAGGCACCGGCCACTGGTCAGTTAGCCATGACCTGGGGACAAGGTCAGGTTCAGTCTCAAATGACTGCCTGTGAGCTGGGGTGATAGGGATGGGGTTGTTCCTAGCAGAACAGACCCTGGGCACGGCAGAGTGGGCCCGTCTTGACTCAGTTGATGTGAGCTTGTGTGGCTTAATGTGCGGCCACTTGTGAACGTTATGCCCAGGAGTCTCAGTCACCTGTGAATATCTAGGCATGTGTGTGTGTGTGTG